CATATTGCTTTCCTTCTTCTGGATGTAGCACTCCCTTAAGCATCTTTTGAAAGGCTGGTCTGATACATGAATTTCCTCAGTTTTTTATGTGTCTTGGAAAGTCTTTATTTCTCCTTCATCTCCGAGGGTAGCCTTACTAGGTATAGCATTGTTAGATGGCAGTTATTTTCTTTTAGGACTGGGAACATATCTTGCATTCCCTCCTGGCCTGTAGGGTTTCTGTTGAGAAATTTGCTGTTTGTCTAGAAGGGATGTAGTTAAATGTGATGTGATACTTTTCTCTTGCATATTTTAAATATGCAATTTTAAATTTGGGGTCCTATGTTCTTCCTGTATATCGACATCTGTTTCTTTCCCAAAATTAGGGAAGGTTTCTGCTACTATTTCATTGAATAGGTTTTCTTAACTTTTTTCTCTTTGCCTTCAAATATTAAAAAAAAAGTGAATGTTTGATTGTTAAATGGTGTTCCAAAGGTCTTGAAGAATCCTCATTTTTTCTAAGTTCAGATATGCATTCTTCTGCTTGATCTAGTTTGTTATTAGGGCTTTCAACTGTGGGGTTTTTTAAATTTGACTATTGCGTTCTTCGTTTACAAGATTTCTGGTTGATTCTTTTTCAAAATCTCTATCTTGTTGCCAAATTTCCCATTCATATCCTGCATTATCTTCCTAATTTCATTTAACTGGATTTCATTGAGCTTTTTAATAATCATTCTTTTTAATTCTTTATAAGGCATTTTATCCATTTTAATTTCCTTGGTACCTCTTGCTAGAGTTGTGGTCTTTTGGAGGCATCACCTTGCTTTTTCATAGTTCTTGTGCTTTAGTGTTTAGATTTGCATGTCTGCTAGATCAGATATCTCTAATCTTTTTATGGAGTATCCTTCTTAGTAAGCAACTTTCTCTTGAAAATGTTTCTTGGAATGTTAGTTTGTTATGCAGTGTTGGCTTTATTCTAGCCAGGCACCATAGTGTAATCTCCCTATAGTTTCATTGGTTGTGCTTAATGACTACCTAATGACTACTCTACTACAGTAGAGTCAGACAGGCTCGTTGTCTCTGCAGGTCACACAGAATGGGGACACTCTAGCTGTTCAGGAACGTATTATGCAGAAAGCAGTGGGTAAGGGGTGATCACTGTGTGGCTGCTTCTGGTAGCATCTTTCAAGTGATTAGGTTTCCTCAGGTCCTACTGATGACAGCTCTGCTACTAGCCAGGGCCTCTGGCACTGGCCGTCCCAGTAGTGCTCGAGGGGCCTGAAGCCCTTGTCCTCCAACCAGTAGTGTGGGCCTAGACACTGAACAGAAAGAGGTGGTGGCGGGAACATGGTGGTACTTACCCCCAGTTCTGACTATAGTGCATGATTAGACAAGGTGCAGGGGCAGAGAGATGGTAGGAACTGCATAGTGTTGGTGGCAGCAAGAACCATGTTGTTCCTCTCTTCTGGTTCAGTGGCAGTGCCTGTCTGGGAGTGGGATGTTGGCCAAATTTGGGCATAGTTCTTCTTGGGGCCCCCTTTGGCTGTGTGAACCTAGAGGTCAGGACAACAGCTAGTACCACAGAGTTACAGAGCATGAATGCATAGACGCATGCAGCAGCAAAAACCACTTGGCCCCTGCATTCAGTCTTGACACTGTCACATGCAGCTGGCTGCATCCTTTATCTCCTGATTGCTTGGTTCTCAAGGGTAGCATGCTTCATTTCCCTCTCTGTCATACACCTGTCCCCTACAATGCAGGCTTAAGTCATAGTCACTCTGCTGGCTAAGTTGGGTCTGTGAGGCACCATCCCCCAAGCTGGTGCACTGGGAATGTCTGTGAGATCCCACAGATGGAAACTTTCAGGGTCTCTGGCCCTAGAGCAGCCCAAGTTCAGTACTCACTTCTCAAGATGGCTTCTGGCTAGAGTACTGGTGGATAGCTGGGAGAGGATGTGAGCTCCTTTTCCAAAGCAAGGCTACCATGTAGCTCTCAGGTCACTTGTCTACGTGGGCTGCAGTTTTACTTTCTGGGTAAAAATTCCATACCACAATGTGGTAAAAGCTTCAGTCTATTCATTTGCTTCTACCAAAGACTCCACAACTAGTTCTTATTCTTTTCAAAGGGAGAAATGACACCAGACATGTTAATTGAACAAGCATTTTTATAATATTAAAGATGTAATCAAATTGAGGAAAACACTTGGCTAACTAGTCATTACAACCAAATCTCCATGGAAACAACTGTGTATAACAGCCAGAATAGACAAAAATAAGCAAACCCAAGAAAAAATAGAGTCTTACAAAAATTAAAACCTTTTGTGTATTAAAGGACACTATCAAGAAAATAAAGACAGCCTATGGAAAGAGAGAATATTTGCTATCATGTCTCTGATAAAGGATTCATTTAGGCTATATAACAAATTCTTACTATAGCTCAATAGTAAAAGATAAATAACCCAATTAAAAATGGACAAAGAATCTGAGTAGACATTTCTTTAAAGAGTGTGTACAGCAGGGTGCCGTCGCTCATCCCTGTAATCCTACTTGGGAGGTGAACATTGGGAGCATAGTGATTTGAGGCCAGTCTGGGTGAAAAGTTGGCAAGACCCCATCTCATCCAGTAAAAGAAGCTGGACTGGTGAGGTGCACATGTCATCCCAGCCATGCCACTACATGGAAAGCGGAAATAGGTCACAGTCCTGGCTGGCCCAGGCATAAAAGCAAGACCCTAGTAGAAAAATAACTAAAGCAAAAAGGATTGGAGGTGTGGCTCAAGTGGAAGAGAGCCTGCCTGGGAAGTGCTGGCCCTGAGTTCAAACTCCAGTACCTCTCCCCTGCAACACACACAAAAATAAAGCTGTGTGTGGTGGTGCACAACTTAAAGGCCCCATGACTAAAGGCTCCATGAAGCTTTCAGAAACCGAACTGCCCATCCCAGACTCCTTAGTGGCCTGACTTAGGTTCTGGGGCAGGTTCAGGCTCATGCAGCAGTTCTGGCAGAGGTCTGACAGAGTTCTGTCACATTTCCCGGCAATCCCTGCGCATTATTTTTGTCCTCCATGTCTTTGCATTTGTATAAGGGATGTGTGCTATAGAAACACATTCATTCAGCTTGTCACAAGAACGCCAGTGTTCAGTTTCTCCCTGCAGAGTGCATGGAGCATGTGTCAAGTAAGTATCTAGCACCTTTTTTTGGTAATGTTTAAACGCTATGGTGTCTACTTTCAGAATTGGGGTGCTACTTGCAGCAAGTGTGGTTAGTAAGTGAATAGTTTCACAGTTTTGATTTATGTCACGTGTCCACTTATGGGTCAAGAAAGGCCTGTAACGAAGCAAAACTTGGCTTCTGGAGTGAAACAGAGGAGTCCGGTGGTCACTGTTCCTGCGAGAATAATTTGCCCAAATACCTCTGCCAGACAAATTGAAGTGATTCAGTTGTCATAGTGACCTTCTGATTTCACCATAAATTGATGCTTTAAAATTTTTTCAACAATATGTTGAGATAAATTGATCTCTTTCCCTTCTGAAGGCACTGTAAAATAAGACATCAAGTCCTCTTTATCTGGCCTACAGCAGAGTGGACACCTGCTCACAAATGCCACTCACTGTTCATCTATTTTAAGTTGTTCAGCCTGGACATAATATATTGTTTGCCTTAAAAATGCCCCCTATTTCTGTACTTGTTAGAAATTTGCAATCTTTTAGTCAAATGTTCTTTTTTTAAATGGTAGTAGTGGGATTCAAACTCAGGGCCTTGTGCTTACTACAGGCTCTCTACCACTTGAGCTATACTGCTAGCCTTTTTACTTTACATATTTTACCAATAGGGTCTCACATTTGTACCCAGGCTGGTCTGGACCATGGTCCTCTTATTCATGCTTTTCCACTTAGCTGGGATGCCAGGCACACCCTACCACATTCAATTTTTTATTGGTTGATATGGGGTCTCTCAAACTTTTTGTCTGGGATGGCCTTGAACCATGATCCTTCTGATCTTCACCTCCCTCCTCTTCTTTCTTTCTTTTTTTTTTTTAACTTAATCCTTTTTCTATTATTGGCTATTTAGAATATTTCTATTTTTTCTATTAAAATGATACTCTTAATTGCTAGCATTTGGCACAAAGCTTGCCTCTCTTTTCTTATAAGGACGCCAGTCCCATTGGATTAGGGCCCCATCCTTATGAGCTCACTTAACTTAGCCCCTCAGAGGGCCTGTAACACATTCAGAGTTAGGGCTTCCACACAGGAATTTGGGAGGGTGGGCTCAGGGTGGTGTGTGAGCAGGGAGGAGAGGCAGAGCTGTGTTGTAGGAATGGCATCAGGACACGTTTTATGTCACCATGTTGGTGCAGAACGCCTACTGTCTTCTGGGCACAGCATGAAGCACTAGGGATTCCATTGTGAACAAGACTGGCCTGGTCTCTGTCCTCCTGGAGCTCATAGCCAAGGGTGATTAAAAGAAAACAAAACATACAGAGACTTTGCTGTGGGATGAAGTAGACATACAGGGTGCCTTGGGAGCATGGAAGAAGGGTACCCAAATAGAGTTCCCATCAGGGAAGGTTTCCTCAGGAAGATGCTTTTCTAAATGAAACCTGAAGCATAGGTTAGGAATCAGCTGTGGGAGAAAAGTGTTCCTGAGGAGACATAGGCTGGGAAACGTGAGCACCCAGGGTTTGGCAGGAACTGGAATAGGAAGTCATTAAATAGAGCCAGAACTGGGGGACTGGAGAGAGGGGGGAGGTGGGCTGGGACCAGCTCACTTGACAGGTTATAACTGCCTATCCCTATAGAGGGTAAACTCACAGATGTCACCCAGGGTCTCAGTGTCCTCTGCCTGGTGGGTAGGTATGTAGTAAATGTTTCCAAGTGCCCTTTTTAATGACTGGGCAGGGGGTGTGAAGTGGAAAGGCTGGGTGCAGGGCTGGCTTCACATCCTTGGTAAGGCAGATGAAGACCTGGAGGTGGCTGCTCCCTGCCCCTGAGCTGTGGGTCACACTGGTGTTTTGTTGTTGTCAGGTTTGGACAGTGAGTCTGCCTCCAGCAGTATCCGCTTCAGCAAGGCTTGCCTGAAGAACGTCTTCTCTGTCCTTCTCATCTTCATCTACCTGCTGCTCATGGCTGTGGCCGTCTTCCTGGTCTACCAGACCATCACAGACTTCCGTGAAAAGCTTAAGCACCCTGTCATGTCTGTGTCTTACAAGGAGGTGGATCGCTATGATGCTCCAGGTAGAGCCCGCCAGGTCTGAGTCATTAGCTGGCACATCCTCCCTGAGCTGCCAGCATGGTGGTGGGCGCTGTGGGTGGGGTGGAGCAAGCCAAGTGGAGTTCAGATGGACTGCTGACAGACCCTGCAGAGTGTGTGCAGGAGAGAGGGGAAGAGCCCGGAGAGTTCCTCCAGCATCAGGGTAGCCAGGCGGGCTTGAAAGAAAGAGGCATAGAGTCTGGCTTTGAAAAGCCTGGGGTGGGAAGTGAGTTTCTGGGAGGAGGAGGTGCAGGAGCCACAGGGAGTGGAGGGAGGCAAAGGGCTTCTCTAGAGAGGAGAGTAGGCTGCCTGCTGCCAGAGGCCAGGGATGGGGAAGTTGGAGTCAAGTTTGAGTTGAAAGGGGCAGGGAGAGGCACAGCCTTTGATAGGAGATAGGGGACCTGCCTGGGAGGGCTCCAGGCCACACTGTTTATCTTTCCTGCCTCATTGGGTGTCTAGCCCCTTGAGTGGAGCGTCATCTCCAGCACAGTTGACTGTCCCCACCAGAACTGTGGAGCTGGCACCAGCATTCTGGAAGCCTGGAGTGAATAGAGAGGCCTGTGCTCTGTGGCTCAGGCCCTGCTCACCTTGTGTCTGCCGCCTGCTTGTGCATTTGCCCATAGGCTGCCCTCAAGCAACTCTCAAGTTGGGGTCCCTTCGCCTGGGGCTCCCTCACAATCCTGTCTCATGTTTATCCTCTTCTCTGTGTGTCTACTCGGTCTCTGTCACTTATGGTGTTTGGTCTCTTGTCCTCTGAACTCTGCCTGTTTGCTGCTGGTGCTGCTCTCAGTGCTTCTGCCACAGTTGGAACAGCTATAATTCCAGGTGGCTGGGCAGGAGAGGGCAGTACTCTTGGGATGGGACCCCCATGCTTAGAGTTCCCAGGTAGAGCAGACACAAGAGACAAAGTGAGTGCTGGGGGATCCCATAGCTCAGAGCCCCTCAGTGGTTCTGCAGGTGGGTGATGGGCCTGGGGAGGCACGGCTGGGCTCAGAGCAACCATTGTCTCAGAGGGGCATAGCACTTCACCGTAGGCCCCGGAGGCTGTGTTCCAGGCCAGGCAGGGGAGTGCTGAGAGGTGGGCCCTCCACTGGAGCAGGGCTCTCTGAGGGCAGTGAATGTGCCCCCATCCCTTTCCTCCTCCCTTCTTGGCAGTGGGTCAGGGAGTCCATGACATGGATTAGCAGTAGGTGTGAGGTGATTTCAGGAGCGCAGCAGGGTCTGTGACTTCTGACATTTGCTTTTCCATTTGCGTCCCAGGTATTGCTCTTTATCCTGGTCAGGCCCAACTGCTCAGCTGTAAGCACCATTACGAGGTCATTCCCCCTCTGATGCACCCTGGCCAGCCTGGTGATATGAACTGCACCACGCAGAGGATCAATTACACCCACCCCTTCTCCAATCAGACCATGGTAATGCTGCCTGCCTGAGCTGGGTCTGGGCTGCTCAGCTGGGTGCTGTGCTTGCCTCTCTTCCTGAGAGGCTTTCTCACACTGTTGGTGTGGCCCTCAGTCCTGGGCATACATGTGGCCGGCTCACTTACATTCAGGGAGGACAATAAGGTCTTTGTCCTTCCCTGAATGACCTTCAGGGCTTGCTGACAATGGGATGAGCCCCCCTCCTTGGTGGAAGGTGGAAGGACTGGAGTCCGGTGGTGTGGTGTAGTGAAGTGAGTCCCCTGTTTGATGGCTTGACAGAGTTGCCAGGACTGTTTGAAAATACTGATTCCCAGGGTCCATGTGAGTTCAGCTGAATCACCATTCCTGAGGATGGACTCTCGGAATCCATATTTTGAATAAATTTGCCAGTTAGAGAAGGAGATGGGTTCCGGGGTGAGGACCACTGGCCGTGCGGTCACACAGCACAGCTTGGTAGGGAATGACGAGAGCTGTCAGAGATCCGGGTGAGCGTTACCTTCTCTGTGGACAGGGAAGGGATTACATGTATTTACATCTTTGCTCTTTCTTCCCATATCCTTCAGGGAGGGATAAAGGGGCAGTGTGAGAGTGTCCCCATCAGGGGGAAGGAAAGATGTTCTGGATAGGGGACCTGTCCATCAAGATGGCCAGGGAGGAGTGTCCTGGTGATCTGTGCCTCTGGACATGATTGCAGTGGGGAGTGTTTCTGAGGGCCAGGGACCCCTGGAAGAGGGTGAGAGGTGCAGCTGCAGACAGAAGCAGAGTCTGCTGAGGATGGCACAGGTGTTATGCTGCAGAGCCCATCCTGTTCCTTTGGGTGACAGAGCCACCAGTGAGGGCTTAAGATGAAAGAATTGCACAAAGACTTTTTTGTCACTCTAGTTATCCTGAAATCCTGCAGAATGATTCCTGCTTCTGCAAAAAAAAAAAAAAAATAGGATAGGATAGACCAGAATATCAGTAGTAGCCTCCAAATTGAGAACGAGTACACTGGCAGAACAGACATTTTCAGGAACTGGTGTAAAATGTAAACAGTCCATTGGGTCTGATGTAGCAGACAACAGGTACAGGAGGACTGCTGATGAGGCACCAGCTGCCTTCCCTCGTGGGGAGCAGGCACGTGCAGAGAGCAGGGCTGCCATGGTGCGAGGCCTTGGCTGGGTCGGCCACAGCCCTTGCCCTGCCAGGATGCTGCTCTGTGTAAGAAACCCCAGAACTATTCTCTGCACAAGCTAAGAGAAGGGCCTCTGCTCGGGCACTGGAGATGAGCAGAGGTGAGGTTGGATCTCCATGATGCTCAAGGAGAGAGACTATAGGAAAGGAAGAGGAATAAGAACCAAGCGCTGGAGCTCCCTGTGGGAAGGGAGGATCAGGAAGTGCCCAGCAGTCTGCTCTGCAGCAGTGGTGAGTGCCCTGCTTTGGGGTGAAAGTGGCTCCTTGGTGAGACCTGATTGCTGCGCTAGGGGAGACGCTCGCATGTTCTGGCCTCATCAGTGGGGGATCTGCCTTGCTGGAATCCTTAGTGGCCACTTGGGAGTTTGCGTGCATGCGTGCGCATGTGTGCGTGCGTGTGTGCGTGCGTGTGTGTGTGTGTGTGTGTGTGTGTGTGTGTGTGTGTGCTGGAGGTTGAACTCAGGGCCTCATATTCGCTAGGCAGGTGCTATAACAATTGAGTCTCTCTGCTGGCCTGTTGGTGGTCATCTGAGGCGAGCGTTAGGTAACTTGCCCTCCCTGGGGTCTGTATGGATTTTGTCACTCAGTTCCTGCCTGTATGGTTTGTGGACTGGCTTTGGGACTGAAATGGCTGCTTAGACGAGGCTGCCTTTGTGATGAGTGTTCTACAGAAATGTGGAGGCTTCTGACTGTCTGAGTCCACTCAAGACCCTGTGAAAGTGACCCCTGTTGAGGGTCTTGTGCTCACGCTGCATAAATCTTCAAATTCCCATTGATTTTCTGGTCTCTCTCATGATCTTAAGTTTCATGTGCTTTGCTCCAGCATAGTATAACCACTGCCTTTCCAGACTGCAGGACCCCCATCTGTTCCCTCACAGCCTGGTTTTCCCATCACCCAATGTGAAGCTGATGTATCATTTTAGGTTTTTGCTCCCAAAACATTTTTTTAGTTCCAGCTAACAAAGTATGTGCTTTTCAGAGTGTAGGCTAAGCCTCTGTGTAGAACAGACGTCCAGATTCAGTGACTTGGCAGCACAGTGGGAAGTAGTGCCCCATGCGATTGTCCAGAGACAGCTTCCATCTCGTCCCTGTGTCATGTGTCCTGTGTCTAGATGTAGTCCTTGTCAGCAGGGTCAGCATATGAGCAAATTGGCGGGGCGGGGGGCGGGGAAGAAGATCCCTTTTAAGAAAGTGATAAGGAAGTTTATCACATGGCTCCATGGAGGCCTGAAATGAAGCTCCAACAAGGCAGCTCGTTCTGCTGAAGTCTCAGATTGGGCAAGCAGTTCTCATATTAAAGGGAGAAGTGGTAGAGGACAGAGACTGGAGATGTTAGGCCTCTGCCACACTGAAAGGCTGAACATAAAGAGATGGGCAAAGACTGTCTTGGGAAAATGCAAGAATACCCAAAAGAAAGGGGCTGTGGCAATGTTCGTGTTGGTCCAAGTGGAATTCCAGGTGCTGCAGAGGTTAGAAAAGGAATGGCTGACGCTGGTGAGGGTTTTGGCTCTACTATGCTTCACTAATGTTTAACAGTCAGTGCTCTTTATGTACAAAACAAATGCCATGTATGTTTTTTTAAGCAAAACCTGTTAGAAATAAGAAAATACACTCGCCTTACAGTGTGATTTGATGCTTCTCAGAAACTCACAGATCTTCAGTAGTAAGAATGAGTTGAATGGCACATTTAATAGATTTAGAGTGTGGATGTGGCTGTATAAAACTTTGTACCTGCACAGTTGAAAGATCTGTAGGACATTTGTAAAAGTTGATGTAAAGATTTTTTTTTCTCAATTTAATACTTCAGTTGACTTTCATCACTGTTGTACATCCTGGTGGATTTTTTTCTGGAATGGAAATGCTAGTTTTGAGTTGTATCTAGAAGAGCATATGTACAAAAATGACCAAGGTGCTTCTGAAGGAAGTGTGAGGAGGCAACCTGGAGGGGACCTGCCCAGGCTGGAGTCACTTTATCATGGAAGAGCAGAAAGCCATAAGGCAGCCCAGCAGCACGGTACTGCCATAGAGAGTGACAGCTGCACTGTGGGCTACGTTTGGGCCAGGAGCAGAGGTGTATAGTGGCCCTGTGCTTGAAATTGGCTCAGGACAAAGGAGAGCCAAAGGCGGAGCGTCAGAACCACATCTGTCCATTGTTTGGGGAGTAGGAGTTAGATCCCTGTTTCATACTGTATACAAAACTTCAAGTGAGGCATATGAAGTGTCTAAATGTAAAAAAAAATTAAAATGTGTGGTAGCTAAGAGGATCTCAGTTCAATGCTGATCTGGCAAAAGTTAGCAAGACCGTATCTTAAAAATGAGCCAGGCATGATGTATACAGTAGTAATCCCAGCTACCTGGGAGGCAGAGGTAGGGTTTTGACTGAGGCTGGTCTGAGCAGAAGCATGAGACCCACCCTGTCTGACAAACTAAAAGCTAAGAGCGCGGAGGCTCGGCTCAAGTGATAGGCCATGAGTTCAATTCCCAGTGTGCTTATCCCCCTGCCGTGTGTGTGTGTGTGTGTGTGTGTTTTACAGATTTCGTCTACTGTATTAAATTTAAAGGTTCCATATAACAAATGACATTAGAAACAAACTTAAAAGAAATGCTGCAGACTAGAAGGAAATATTTGTACATATAACAGATGAAATGAGCTTGCTTGCTGAATAATGGTGAGCTTCCATAGCTTGGCCAATCCGTGGAAAAGGGGACAGAGGATGTGTCATGCTCAGCCTGGCTTCGGGCACTGTGCCAAATGTCCCCAGGCTTGAGCAAGCGTTGACTTGTCCGCATCCCTGGGCAGGAGGGTCTGGCAGTGGTCACTAGAGGCTGCTGGGTGCCCTCGTGTGAGCTCTGTAGTCCGTGCTTGCGCTGTTAGATGCTGGAGCTTCTGTGTGCCCAAGGTGAGGGGTTGAGAGACCATGCACCTCTCCAGGACTGAGACTCTGGCCTTTGTCTCCCTCTAGAAGTCTGCCCTGATTGTCCAGGGGCCCCGGGAAGTGAAGAAGCGGGAGCTGGTGTTCCTCCAGTTCCGCCTGAACCAGAGTAACGAGGACTTCAGTGCCATAGACTACCTGCTCTTCTCCTCTTTCCAGGAGTTCCTGCAAAGGTGGCCGTCCAGAGTTCTCAGTGGTCTTGCTGTCTGCTTTTTGCCTTTTGCCAGCCTTGTATAGCCCCAGGCTGGAGACGAGGGTGAGGGCTAGGGCCAGAGAGCAGTGCTTCAGGTGGCCCCTGGCCCAAGAAAGGAAGGACTGTGTGAGCTCATCCTGTCCCTTAAACTCATCCCGAGTTAAGTAAAGCTGCTTTGGAGGAGCATGTGTACATGGCTCACTCTGTACAACTCTGTGTACATGGCGCTGTTCTGGAGAGATCCCTCGCTCTGGCCCATGACTAGGGTATTATAGAGCAAAGGAAACTGCCTTCCATGTGGGCACTCTTGACGGCAGCCCCTGCCTGGAGCCTTGGTTTCTCCATTCCCATGCACCAGACCCCCGTCTTGCTCTTTGGGAAGGCTCCGTGTGTGTTTACATAAATGTGTCATTTATGAGGGTGCAAGTCTCACCAGCTGCTCTGGGTCTTTGCTTGTAGTGATAAATGTCCCTGATTGTCAAAAAGTTCCTATCTGCTCCAGACACTGCTTTGGGAACACACTGTGGTACCATTTCTTGGGCTCAAAGTGCTTGTTAGAGTGGGAGGATCTTTGTACTCCTGCCAGGCCTTGCTGAGCCCGGGTCCCCACTCCCAGGAAGTGTGGAAGTGTGTGAGGGGGCAGCTGCAGTGACAAGGAGGCTGCTGCTTGCCGAACAGGAAGGGAGCACCTCCTCCACCCTGGAGCTCAGAGCCTCTGCCTTGAGTCTCCTGTCCTGCCTACAGCTAGTCTGGTGACCCTTCTCCTGGGAGACTTCAGAATGCCCAACCCCCTCTCCAAGCCCTCTGCTCCTTCCATGTCCTCAGCCCTGCACTGTGGCTTCTGCTCGCTCATGGATGCTTTGATTTTGCTGTGTCTGCACCACCCTAGACCAAATGGGTGGCGTCCCATCCGGCCAACTGAGAGCTTCCTCTGGAAACCCTGTTCCTCTCTCTGTGCTTTCCAGAGGAAGCTGAGAGTCCCGTGAGGGCTGCTCTGGCTCCACTCAAGCGCGTCCTCCAGGGAGCCAGGAGCACTGACTCCAGTGAGCTTCGGAAACCCAAGTGTCCTAGGCTGCGGAGCTGGCCAGCAGCTGGTGGAGGAGCCCTCACCTGGAGCTGCAGGGGTCCTGCTGCCGCCTCGAGGCTGGGGACAATCTCTTTGGAAGCCAGAGAAATGGGATGGGCCTTGCTTTTGATTTTTACTAACAAGTAGCCCTACTGAGGCACCGAATTCAGAGAAGAAGCAGGGAGTGGGCTGCATTCCCATCATGCCAATAGAGAAAGCAGCTTGAGGAAGGGTAGTGCGTGTCTGGCTACACTTGGCTTCTGCTATCAGGCTTGGATTAACTTAGACCTTTCTTCTCCCCGTCCTCCAAGCCCAGACAGGGCAGGCTTCATGCAGGCCTGTGAGAGTGCCTACTCCAGCTGGAAGTTCTCCGGGGGCTTCCGCACCTGGGTCAAGATGTCTCTGGTGAAGACCAAGGAGGAGGATGGGCGAGAGGCCATGGAGTTCCGACAAGAGGTAGGTGACTCAGGGTTTGCTTGGAACAGCTGTACTTTTCCTCATTTGTGTCTGGGTGGATGAAAGCTTTGCAGGGAAGTCTTTTGAGTGGTGTCCTAAGGGTGAGTAGACTTCTTCAGCAGGGGATGGGACCCAGGGGAGGGCTTCATATGCCAGGGCAGACAGTCTGAGCGTTCTCCTGGAGTCAGTGCACCAGCAGCCTTGCCTCCTCGGTGGCTGGTTCTCATAGAATGGCTGAGGAGAGGCAGTCACGCAGGCCATCTTGCAGAGGGAGGTAACTCACCCAGCTGTGCCTGACACCCACACCTGGCAGTGTTCTGTGGCCGACACAGGCAGCATAGCAAATGAGTATTTGCAAGGAAGACCAGATACAGTGGTGTCTACAGTCCTGTGTGTGATGATGATCCAGCGAGATGTGGAAGGAAAAGACTGGCTTTTTTTAAATGTTTACTTTTATCTCATCCTTTTGACATTTCTATTGTCGACTAATATATATATAGCATTAGAACCATAATGCATATTGCTTTGCTTTATAAAGTTAGAAAGCTAAGTACATTGGGTGTATGCTCAGACATTGTTTACTAACAGGAAGTCTGATGAAAAAGCTTACTGTGTGCTGGCCTTGAGCCAGGAGGTAATGTATGGAGGGTCCTCTTGCTGTTACCCTGTGAGAGAGCCATGGGAAAGGTCTGGTGGTGGGGATAGAGGTGGGAGACTTGGTTTGTTTCCTCTGGGGGTGTTGGTTGTCACAAGCAGAAGGAATGCTCCATTCCTGCCTCTGGGGCTTCCACCTACATGTGACTGTGCCGTCCACCAAGTCCGCACTGAGAGGCACACTGTCATGAACGTAAGTGGCTGGGTGCTATGAGAGGAAACAGGGTTGCCCTCTCACCCCATTCCTCCTTGGAGGTCTTCATGTGGGCTGGAAAGGTCTGGATTAGAATGGAGGGGCCTACTCGAACCAACTGGGCTGTTTTTTGCCAGGAATCAAGCACTGATCCAGTTGGGGACTGTCTTAGGTTAGTCTTTAAATGGTTCCTAGGACTGTTTAAGCACAGGCTATTTTTCCTGCCTCAGGAGGTGACAACCACAGGCAATAGATTCTTAAAATATTCCTATTTGGTAAGCTATCTGCCAGTAGAATTTTTACTCTGCACTTGATTTCAAGTACTTTAAGTCCTCACCTGGCCCTAGAGAGAGGTATTTATTCACATTACAATTAGGGGCAGGCCCACCTGTCCTGCCTCTCCTGGTGGCTCCAACTGTGATCTCAAACCAAAGGGATGAAAACCTTAGCAAGCTAATAAATTGGAGAATTTTTTTATGCCTTTTATTATTGCCTAAATTGGCAGGATCACGAGCTCTTTTGAGTAAGACTCAGAAATGTCTTTATGTTGTGCTTTCACATAGACTATTTCATTTGATCCTTACCATATTGCAGTGTGGCACACATTTTGTCCTGTTTTCCAGGGGGCAGATCTGAAGTTGGGATTAGGTGGTAGACTTTCGCTTTAGGCTGGGCTGGCCTGCTGTCCGTTACACCACATGGCCTCTTTAGTAGTTGATGACTAGATCTTACCATGCATGCCTACTAGATGGTTACAGGGAATGAGTGGTGTGTGTATCTGGGGGCTGTGCTTTGTTTCTGTAAACTTGAAGGGTTGAAATACCCTTCAATAACTCTCAAATAACTCTCCTGATGAGAGTTGTGACTTAAACCTGTTCCTGGCTATTTGAGAGGCTGAGATTGAGAGGGTCACAGTTCAAGGCCAGGCTAGGCAAAAAGTTCTCAAGACCCCATCTCAACCAGTGTCTGGGCCTGGTGGTATACACCCTGTCATCCCCAGCTATGCAGGGGTGGTAGCTTGCTCACCTAGTAAGTGAGAGGTCCTGAGTTCAACACCCCCCCACACACAAAGTGCCACCAAAAAAACAAAAGAGAGAAACATACAAGCTGTGATCCTAGCTACTCGGGGAAGCAGAGATCAGAAGGACAGAGGTTTGGAGCCAGCCCAGGCCAAAAGAACAAAACAAGCGAGACCCTATCTCAAAAATACCCCACACAAAAGAGGGCTGGCAGGTGGCTCAAGTAGTGGTAGAGTGGCCCTGAGTTCAAACCCCGATAACAGCGAAAAACAAACAAAAATACACAGCTCTTAAGATCATGTATTTTAAAAATTTGGAGAAATTGCTTTTTTGAGTATTGATACCTGATGACAGATTTGGGTGACAGTCCTTAACACCTATTGTATAGCACAGATCCTATTTCTCCAAAGAACGATGGAAACCCATGGTAAAGCCTTGGCTCTTATACCAGTTTCAGGATTTTGTCTATGAGACTTTTGGCTTTCTCTCTCCAAAAGATAGCCTCAGGAGAGCCATGGTCTAAGATCCCCTCCCACTGTCTCCTCTCCCGGGGCCCAGGCAAAGGAGGGTCAGGGGTGGTAACCGTTTCTCTGCTCTGCTTCTAGACCAGTGTGGTTAACTACATTGACCAGAGGCCAGCTGCCGAGAAAAGCGCTCAGTTGTTCTTTGTGGTCTTTGAATGGAAAGATCCTTTCATCCAGAAAGTCCAAGATGTGAGTACTATTTAAGATTATGCGAGCAAATTCTCTGTTCTGACGTGTTTTGGCTCATCCTTGCAGGCTAAGTCTACCTGGCTGTCGTCCTCATCTTCTTTCAGAGCATGAGACAGCTTGTATTTTATATTTATGGCATTACATGTCATATGTAACTTATGTTTAATTGGTCTTAGTCGCTAGTATTATTTCTCTGATGATGCAAAGGTCATTTTGTTCATCATCATTTATCTGATATCTAGCAGGGTACTTAGCACAGAGTAACTGCTTTGTAGTAATATTGGCTAAATAGAAAGCATTCAGTTACTATATAGAGTACTACCATTAGTCATTCCTTTAAATTGTAGAATAAGTGCTTCTTTGTGGTAAATTGGAATTGAAAGTCACAGATAATTAAAGCATCACTAATGCCACATTCTCAGACTCACAATCTTAATCCTGGAAGGGGAGAAATTGGGCGGCTTTGCTAAAGAAACTATTGGCACGCCATTCACTAGTGCCAGTATCAGATGTTTGACATTTAAATCATCACAAAACGTCTTCCCATCATCAGTGGCTTTGGGGAAGAACTTTCACAGCTCTAGCATGTAAGCTTTGGCTCCCAGGGAGGGTTTCTGTGAGATGGATATGTTCCACTGTCACCCACCATGCTGTTAGTTACCAGCAGCAAGGCTAGGGCAAAGGGGCCCATGCAGAGGCTTTACTGAGAAGACTCTGGCTGGAGTGTTACTGCCTTATAGCTGTTTGTGTGAAATGCGTGCATTCAGCTTACTGTGTTCAGTATGAGGGGCTAAATAGAGCCCCTTCCTCAAGGCGTGCTTCACAGCAGTCATATAAGCAGTTGTATAGTCATTTTGCAAACGTTGAAGCTCATGTGGTCTCAGGTCACACTGCTAGACTGGGTTTACGAATGTCTTATTTTTACCATGCTTGGGAATTCAGAAATCCAACCTAAGACCTCTGCCTTAAACAGCTCAGCGAGGGAGCTTGTGGTGAGCCAGACATAAGTAACTGTCAAAAGGGTTTGTAGGATGAACAGCTTTGCTCAGATCCAGGAGGGTTTTGGCTGAATGACCAGGGAAAACGCTGAGTGTAAAGGGTTAGTAAGTCTAGACAGGAGGACAGTACCTCAGGCAGAGAAGCAAGGAGCAGAGGTCTGAGGGAGGAGTCCATAGGGTGAGTTTGGGAAGAGACAGTTGGAAACTAAGGTAACTGAGATGGGCAAGAAAATGAGGAACTAACTTTATGGACTGGGTGTAGTTTTAGGGAAATTTATCACAAAGCTGAGTCAACTTATTTTTGGATTAGGACACAAAATTAAAGCATAGTATTGAATATCTTATTTGTGCAGAGATTAAAATTTTTTTTTCCTTTCAGAATCAATTTATTACATGGAGGGGCTAGTATTTGTTCCTCAGACTAGCTGTGAACACTGAAATTATAATCTGAATGCAGTACTGTTGTGAAGGTTTCAGAATCCAGGTGTTTTTCTTGTAGCCCCATAATCTGGGCAGGAGTGTTATTTGACAACAGTGTAACTTAAGAATCAAGATTAAAGGAAATCAGTAACCCTGTATTTGTTTCTGTTTCACAGATAATCACTGCCAATCCTTGGAACACAATTGCTCTTCTGTGTGGGGCCTTCCTAGCATTATTTAAAGCAGCAGAGTTTGCCAAACTGAGTGTGAAGTGGATGATCAAAATTAGGAAGCGGTACCTTAAAAGAAGAGGCCAGGCTATAAACCACATAAACTGAAGTCACCTTGTTACTCATAAAACTGTCACATTAATGGAAGTTCTCCTCACATCCACGCTGATAACCGAGCCACCAGCAATCCTGTACTCACTTGAAGAAAGGGACCTTGCAGGGAGGAATAGCCTGTCAGACTGGAACTTCTAAACGACCCCAGAAAGAGGCTGTTTTGAGCCTAATGGAAAAGGTCCAACAGATAATCTGAAAATTATTTAAGTATTTAAATTATTAATGAACATTTTACAGACCTGTCCAGTGTTTTAGGAATAGGGTTTGTGGAAGATGCCTTTCTTCCTCTTTGGTTCACTGTATCTCATTAGGCTTCAGCTTGACAGTGAAGGCTCCACTTTTACCTTAGATTTTCCCTTGAGGTTTTTAAAGTGGACTATCAAGATGTGTGGGTCATGCTTTGGAACCTGTGCACTGTATATAAAGAAAGGCAAAACCATCGCCCAATACTGCCTAGGTGCTGGCAAGCTCTCTCATTTGTTAAATATTAAATGAGACTTAAACAGCTACTAGAAACAAGTGCTTGAATTTCTTATGGACTAACTAGCCATGACTTCATAGGATCTATTACACAGATTCTTTAGCTAGAACTTATGTTAATGTAGGTCTGAGTTTAGTGATTAACACTCAACAATAGCACAGATGTATATAGTAGGTTGCCTACACAGTGTTTTGATTTCATTAACAGGTAAATAAAAGTTGGGTTGATAGAAAAGGAATGAGTGTACCAGTATGAGTATCTGCTAAATTACTGGGCACCGAGACTGTCATGCTCTGACCTCCAAAAATGAAAGACAGAATCTGCACTCCCAACACAAACAGATCTGACTCCGGAGGTGTCACCACTGCCTCAGGAGGTGTGCTGAGATGATGCCAGAAGAGGGACACGCCACATCACATCTTGTGAATAAGCTGGTCAGTACTTCCCTGTGCCTACAGAACCACCTGTCTGACAAGGGGGGCATTCAGAATAACCTCAGAGCTGCTGGTCTATGCTCAGAAGTAATTCCTGTGCTCTTCTTTGCTGCAGGTAATAAATCTTTACCTGCTCTTTTAAAAGAAAACAAAACCAAAACTGTCAGTCCAGCCTTTGACAGAGATAAGTACCTATTAAAAACCTAGGTATTGGACTGGCGGAGTGGCTCAAGTGGTAGAGCACCTGCCTAGCAAGTGCTAGTTCAAAGCCCAGTATGGTCCAAAAACAAAAACAAAACAAAACAACAAAAACAGAATCGCTAAAAACCTAGGTATTTTTCACATTGACTGATCGAAGGTTTTAAGAGTTGTTTTCAGTTTCAAATTATTTACATGCTCGTTCCATCCGGACTGGGAATTTCCTAAATTCCCAGTCCGGCTTCATGATAATCCAAACAGAGCAACTCTGTAAGTAGGGCATTTTAACTCCTAACTTGACAGCGAGGAAATGTTTTGTGGTTGAATTATTAAAAGCGAACTTGTATAAGGAAGTATTCCCTGCTACCTTTTTGCTCCATGAGAATTCAAATTTCAAGTATAAAAGCTTACATCATCAGCATGGAAAAACAAGTGTGTGTTTATTTTTTAAAGTATGTCGGGGACAGGAGTGTTGCTCATTGGTAAGCATGTGCTCATCACACAGGAGGCCCTGGATTTGATCCCCACAGGCCTCTCCCCACCAAAAAAAATTAAACCTCTTCACAATGACTTTCCACTTTAATATTACTTACTACCTAATAAATTTGTTTCAGTGAACATATAAAACCATTTCCTGTTGAGAGACCTATTTAATGTGCTTTAGAGAGTAAGTAGATAGTGAGGAAGTGTGTGATTGTTGGCACTGGGGTTTTAAACTTAGGACCACATGCCTCAGGCAGGCATTCTTAATGCTTGAGCCACTCTGCCACCCCAAGTAAGCATTTTTGTCTATTCAAAGAGAAAAACAAACTTACAGAAAAAAAAAGTTTAACTGGCAGCTGCAACCTGTCAATCCAGTCTGGCTGCTCATTAGTAAATAAAAGTATCTTCAAACTTTCTACAAGCAGACTTTTAGATTTGACCTTCACTTTCTGAAAAGACAGAGTGCTTGCTTACCTTTCAGTCTGTGTTTTGTAATAGAATTGTCCTTTTAACTGTGGTGTGCCCAGCTGTCTGCAGTGCTGGCTGGCCTAGAGTTAGTTAGAAGGAATACCGTGTCTGATGGCTATGACAGGGCAGCTCTGTGCTGCATACTGCTTGAGAATGTGGTAAAATAGGAGCCATTGTACTGAAAGGAAGAGTTTCTTCCTGGGCCACACAGAGCAAATGGGCTGCTTCCACAGTGACCTAGCTCTGTGCTAGCCTGTGCTAGTTTTAAACTGATATTAAAGTAATCTCCCTGCCATTCACTAGAAGTGCTTTTGTTTATTGTGGATTATGAAATTTCTCCTCCTGGGTCTGTCTTAATGAAAACCAGCTTTAAAGTTAAACCTGTCCTCTGAACATTGAGGGACATGAAGGAAGAAATCATAGAATTTTACAGAAACATTTCTGTAAAACAGATCTACTTTAGTAAAGGGCTAGGCTGGAACACTAATTCATGGCCCATAGTCTTTCTGTTTTTAATCAGAATGCATCCCACAATATGAGTTATTTTTCTATAAATACGCTTATGTATGTATATATGCCAAAGAGAAGCAGGCTTCTGGATGCTTAAGCACAGAGCTGAAAAAAGCAAAGATGACATAAGGCAAAATACAAACATAGACTTTATTAAACGCTGCTCAATCCCCCAGTGAAGATCTTTCATTATAAAACAGTTTTCCACACAACTGCAAGGTAAGAGGTTGGAATGGTACTCTGATAAAAAGATGTGAGAAATACTTGACCAGGTAAAAACATACAAGACTTCTATGTAGTCAACTTTTTCAGAACGCTACAGAAACAGCCTACTGCATTTCCTTTAAATAAAGCCAGGCAGTGACAACTAGCAATCTGCCTCACCACACTGTGGGACTCAAAGCCTTGCCCGGGTCAGGAAGGCCTGGGGGAAGGATGGGTCGTGAGGACTGGAAAGGCCCTGCCTCCAGCCTTTGGGAGGAGGAGGAGGAATGAACTGAGAGGCAAGCCCAGTGTTCACCTGGGCTGTTGCTAGCTACTAACCCGGGTCTGTACTCTGGGGTGCTGCTAATGAAGGGGGTACTGTATTCATGAGGAACAACCTGAAGACTGTTGGTTTACTTTCCCAGCTTTTATTTTGTGCTTTAAAGGCCTGGAGATTTAAGGTTCTGCTTAAATTCCAGAGTACAGTAAGATCATTAATGAGGGTGGGCTTGGGGCAGGGAATCCCACCACTGTTCCTGCGAGAAACAAAGGGAAGGGTAAGGATGACACCTTAGCTGTACTTTAGGAAGTATCCTTTTGTTTCTCAGATATAACTAAGGTCTGCAGCAGTGTGAAAAGCACTTTATAAAAGGGAAAAAAATATACAGAGCGGCTACTTGATCTATGTGCAACAAAATCAAAAAAGAATTCAAGTCATAATTCTTACCACTCCCTCAATTATCTTACTCAGTTCACAGATGATAAAATTCATTTCTGTGAAACTTCAGAAGTGACACAATAAGTCAATGATTAGACCCGGGTTACAATACACTGTGGCCATGACATAGCACAGGGCTAGGTTTAGTCCGTCACTTAAGAGTTGCCAGGAAAAAAATTGGCCTTTCAATTACATTACACTGATGAGGTTGGCTCTGCAGTTTTTACATATTTCAAAAAAAAGTATACAAAACTGTGCCTATCCAGCAGAGGTGGCAGGCTGTGCTATTCGGCACTTGTATTGCTGAGAATACTGTGCATGTTGTAAGGGCTGTGCTGTTTTTCTAGAGCCTTCTTTAGCTTCAGCTCCTCTAGTTTTTTCCATAATTCTTCACGTTCCAATTCCTTCTTCTTTTCTCTGTAGATAAACCAAAAATTGTTTTAATCAGGATTATTTCAGAAGCTAAAGACTTTGCTTGGCAGTTTACTGGAGAACATTCTTCCATGGTGGAGCACCTGCCTGGCAAGCTCAAGGCCCTGAGTTCAAACTCCATACTGCCCCCAAAAAACCCACCCTGCTCTTCACTCACATTTCACTTCACTTAAATCTGTTTCTTAAAGCGCTGGTGTACAATTACCTGGAGCATCTAGTTTCTTCCTGTCACTCTAAGTAACCATGCTGTGCATCTCTGGCTTTTCCTGGACCGCTACACTGGGCATTACAGTGGACAAAGGACACTCACATAAATCTTTTCATGTTAACTTCATGCAGCGACTGTAGGAGTCTGGATCACTATCACAGACTACAGTCCTGGCCAGAAGGCAGTCTGAAGCCTTACCCACACCTGCAGATCACAGTCTTCTGCCCCATGTTTCTAGTCACAGTACGTATCTTATACTATCACCTGCTGTCAAATGAAAACTTCAAAGTTTGAATAATTTCTAAAATAAAATGAAAGTCAAAATATTTGTCAAAGTATTTGTTGCTTCAACTACTTAATTTCAGTTCTAAGGGAAACATTTCTGAATAACTTGGACCAGACTCTTGTCAAAGGCTGTATGAACATGTAAAAAACACAGGCTTATATTACTGTGATTTAGAAGGACAAATCCTTTTAAAGGACTTGCTGATTTATGCAGATAGTAAGAAATAAGTCTTCTTAGTCAAGTGAAATATACAACTGTCAAATGCAAGTTTCATATGACCCTAGCCAACTTTTCTTTCTTCCCATTGCTTTCTGGGGCTCAACTCATGACCTTAGTTTCTAAACCCGCCTGAATTTTGCTACTTAGGAGAAATAATGCATTGAGTTAGTTATTGGTGGGCTAACTCCTCCTTCTGCTTGACACAAGAAAATTGTGACTAGGAACATGTAGTAAAACGTAGGTCAACTTTTCTAAACTGAACAGGTAATACTAAAAGAAAATGGTAGCTAATCTCAAAGTATGGGTTGACTCACATATAGTAGTTACTTCCTACTTATGTCTTAAATGAATATCATAATAAGGAAACAATTTTTTAAAAAATTTCTTATAGTAATTTGTGAAATTCTCAAAAAGAGGTAATTACTAAGCCCTGTTCCTAAGGCTGAGATGGACTACCAAATGGTGCCATGAAAGGAATGACACACTGCTAGCATCCTGAGCCAGTGAGCGCCCTCTTCTCAAAAGAGGATACAATGACTTTCAAACACCACTTCTAATACTGCATCAGAACTGTCAAGTTCTAGGCAAAGAGTGAAGCCCATGTGGACATAAATAGTTTTCATAAATGTAAGAAATCAAGTTTTTTAAATTACTATTTAAAAGACTGAGGAAATCTAAGGCTCAGGATGAGATGAACAGAGAGGATTTATGTTCCCCATTAAAATCATAATCTAAACCATATGGGAAGTAAATTATGTAACAACCTTAAATAATAAATATTACTGCTTTTTACGTTTAACAAATTTCTAAAAATACTGAGGCTCCTTTACTTGGAAATGAATTTAGTGTTTACAGACTTTCAATTTCTAATGCCTACTGTATTAAGACTTCATGAGTATTATAACTTAGAGTCTGAACTGATTCATGTTGAAGTAACCTAAAATGTTCATTTAAAACTCAGAATATCAAATACCTCTGCCTTTCAGCTTTGTATGAGCTAGTAAGGTCATCGAAAAGCTTGCCATTCATCTCCATTAGGGTTTTCAGCACATTGTACACCAGTGCTACAATGGTTCTGAAATGAAAATGAGTCAGGCCTGAGTTACTGATACCAGTGGATAGGAAATGCAACACTGTTATCTCTAAAATGGACTACATGTGAGCTGGTTCATGTTAATTCATTTTAGATGATAAAAAAGAGGTTCGAGAATTCTGTAATTTGCTCAGAGTCACACATACAGGGGGTCAAGATGGTGTGGTTGATTCCCAAACTTACATCCTTCCCACGTTATCATGCTTAAACTCTAGCTATGCTCTGGTTATCTTCATTTCTAGGGTTTCATATCTGAAATCCTGGGTAACAGTAAAAGAAGATGAAAAAGACCCAACTATCATAACTTGAAGAAAAGGAGGAAACATGACACAGATGCCACAGAAGTTAGAGAAAACACATGCATCCCGTGTCTCCTAGGACCCAAAGCCTTCAGCTTCTCCCCGGGACAGTGCTGTAGACTGGGAGTAAACAGATCAGCACAGCTCTGTGTGTATCATGTTAATACCAAATACTGCTGCCTTTAGGGAGAGTTGTACTTTTCACTGCAAATCAAGACTATAAACTAAAGAATACACATTTGTAATTTTATAATATACATATTTATATTATAAAAGTACAGAACGGAATAAAACTGTGATGTTAACCTTTGATATTTAAGTTCCAAATCTACATAGGAGTCATGTATGAGTTAGGAAATCAAATGCTGAAAAGATTAAAAAGCCAGTAACGGGAGAAAAACAGGGCCAACACAGAAATACATACTGATTCCAGTGTTCTTTGGAAATTTTGTACAAACTGGCAAACATAATTGGCAGAATTTTATCAATATTCTCTTCAATCAAACTAAGAATATATTCATTATTCCAGAAGTACAGTGCTCTTTCTGCAACCTAAAAAAGACATTCAGAAATTTCAGCATTCAAAGAGAAAAGAAACAATAGTATAAAATAAGAAAAATGTCACTGAAAACATACCTGAAAATGGGAACTGGAGACACACTTGGATATCTGCTTAAAAAGTGGCTCTTCAATTTTTTTAAACTGTGTTGGTTCAATGACATCTAAGATTTCTTCAATTTCTCCTAAAAACATCACCTAGTTTAAAAAAATTTTCTTTTTAAAAACATGACAAATTATATGATGTAAATTTTAGAAACTATACAAGTGAGGTTAATCTACAAATTATCCCAAGTGAGCAAAGAAAAGGTCTAGGTGGTAGACCAGGTGTTATCAGTCCCCACTCCAAACCCCCTTCCCTGCAGGAGAGCAATAACAGCTACACTAAAGCAGCAGGTACCACAACCCTGGGAACCTTTCTGTGAAACAAAACCCACCTCTTTCTGACTGCATGTTTTCGGCCAAAATTTCAGCAGTCCTCTAATCACCTGCAAAAACAAGTTTAGAATGAAACAATGAGGCTGGTTAATTCCAGGGTATTTTCGATGTGATTATACTGATATTCATTCTGAAGTAAAATATTTAATATCTAAGCGTATACTTAGATCTTCTGCTTAGCTGTAGGTTTTTATGTGCCAGATACTGCTGTAGATGCTAGGGAGATGGGTGAGCAAGAGATGAGGTCTCTGATCTTCATAGAGTTGACATTCCAATGGAGGGAGAGTAATTAATTAAAGCAATTTAAATTGCAGTATGTAGTACTTACTCAAGAAAATAAAGGAAAATATGATGGGTAACTTGGTGTGATGAGAGGAGGACGTTATTTTAGGGAGAAACTTTAATGAGCAGATAACTCCTCTAATCTAAACTGTTACGTGGCAAAAAAAAAAAAAAAAAGCCAGAGATCTTCCCAGCTTATTTCATAAATGGCATAATCTAGATAATCAAGATTCAACAAAACTGCAGACAGGGACTGTGTATTTAAGTGAACATAGTTGTACGAATTTGTAATAAACTGAATCTATCAGTATAGCAACAGAAAAAATCACATGGCTAATTATAACTTCTAAAAATGCCAGGATGGTTCTAGTCAGTATCTTTAGGCTACAGGGTGAGGGGAGCTATGTTCATCTTAAAAAACTTTGAACAGTTATTTGGTATTTTTGACTGATGTTGTATTCTGGTAAAAACTTAGCCAGAATCAACAGAATTTATGAGAAACTACCTGCAATCATTTTACACAATTTCTTAGAAATAGGTTGTAAAGCTACTAGGCCCGATGGTAATTTCTGCCAGCCTATTAGGTTACTTAATAGTTTATTGTGTGGCACAGTAATGAGGAACCCTATTCAAATTAAAATTGAGGAGAACATGGCTTTGAGTCAATTCAGTAAGATAAGACTATGATGGATAATGCTGGTGAGGAATTACACTTACTTGTCAAAGTATACAACATTCATATACTTCCTAGTAGCCAGAGGAACGGGAAAGTTTAGCTAGATAAAAGATAATTCAGGGCTGGTCGTGTGGCTTAAGTGGTAGCACACCTGCCTAGCAAGCACAAGGCTCTGAGTTCAAATTCCAGTACCACCACAACAAAGTTAATATATACAAAATCAATACATTAAGTATCAGTAAACAATCAGATGAAAATAGGAAAAAAGATACTTCTTATAACAAACTTGTACATATATTTCTTCTATCTTTAAAATTTTAATATAAATCCAATCATATACCAACTGAATTATCTTTGGAACTAGAAACATTTATTCTAAAATTTATAATTGTAACCAGTAGCCAAAAGCTGGGTTTTTTGTTTGCTTTGTTTTGTTTTTTGGTGGGGACGGAAGCTAATGGAATAGAATCCAAGCTATCAGCAATTCAAATAATATAGTGTTAGCGTAGAGACTTACAGAAAAGATAAGTGAAATAGAGGAGTACTGAAGCAGACGCATGTCAATTTTTTTTTTTTTCAGTTTTTTTGGTGGTATTGGGGTTTGAACTCGGGACCTGATACTTGGTGACTTGAGCCATGCCTTCAGTCCTTTTTTGCTTTAGTCATTTTTCAGATAGGATCTCCCTCTCTTTATGTCCAGGCTGGCCTTAGACAGTGATCCTCCCTCTGGCTCAGCTGGAATTACAGAAACATCACACCACAGTTGGCCCTAAAGTTGCCTATGAATGATACCCACACAGACCAACTGAAAGGAATCTTCACCCACCTGCCTTGGTAGCCTGCTCCAATGTCTGTGCTCTCACAGAAAGTCAGGCTTTCCCTCTGCCTGTGCCAGCCCTCATTTAATCCCACTCCCCTTAGTTTGAGGCCAAAGTGCATCGGGCCACAGACACCGCAATTGAGGCCAGGAAATGGTGCATGAGGCCAGGCTGAGACATATTCCCCAGGAGCCTCCTTGCTTCATGGACTGAAGGCAAGATTGGTGATGACTAGAATGTATTTTATTATAACTTCTTTTAAAATTAAATACAGATAATTTATTTTCTTAAAATACAGTATGAACTAAAACAAAAATATTGACATATACAGGGCACTTATATTTGGGTTTTAACACATGACAAAAGTGGCATTTCAGTTCCACGGGACACACTCATGGTACTGGGCCTGACAGCAATCCACTTAGAAAGAAAAGCTATAAACAGACTCCTGCAATGATCTCCCTGACCCTTCCTTCCTGTTCTTACTGTGTAATCCCTCCTCCTATGCATGGGATAGTCTAGTGACCTGCTTCTAACCAACAGACTGTGTCAAAAGTGACAGAAGGACACTTCCATGAGTAGGCAACAAAAGATCGTGACTTCTGTCTTACTAGCAGACTTCTGTTTTGGTTTACAAGCTTTGATGAAGCAAGCTGCCATATGGGAGGGGACCACAGTCCAAGGACTGAAGGTGGGCTCTATCCAACAACCAGCAAGGCACTGAATTCTGTTAACAACCACATGACCTCAGAAGCAGATTCTTCTTTATCTGAACCTTTAAATCAGACTCAAGCCCTCACCAATACCTAATAGTAGCTTTGTAAGCCTCCCCTGGGCAAAAATGGAAGACCCTATCCAAAAAATAACTAAAACAAAAAAAAGGGCTAGGGTTGTAGCTCAAGTGGTAGAGTGCCTATCTAGCAAGTTCAAGGCCCTAAGTTCAAACCTCAGTACTATCAGAAAAAAAAAACTATATATATTTAATATAACTGGAATGTTAATATTTGCAGGTACTCTCCGACTTACATGATTTTTACTTTTTTTTTTTGGTGGTACTGTGGTTTGAACTCAGAGCCTCATGCTTGCTAGGCAGGCACTCTACCACTTGAGCCACTCTGACCGCTCCTTTTTTTGTGTACTGTATCGAACCTAGGGTCTCATGCATGCTAGGCAAACATTTAACCACTGAGTTACATCCCTAGCCCTACAGCTTGTTTTTTGAGATAGGTTTTGCTAACTTTGCCTGGGTTGGACTCAAACTCATGATCCTCCTTCCTCTGTCTCCCAAGTAGCTGGGATTACAGGCTTGTACCACCATGCCCAGCTTCTAACTTATTTCTAATTTGAGGAGGCTTTCATACGAACACCAGGTTTCCAGAAATTGAGTACAGATGATCCTCTACTTATAATGGTGCTACATCAAGTTGAAAATATCTTAAGTCAAGAATGCATGTAATGCATGTAACTTATGGGACATCGAGTAGCTTGCTTTCTAGTGCCCACTGTTTACCTTTGTGGTCATGTGACTGACTGGGAGCTGTGGGTCACTGGATAACTGCCGCTGCCGAGCACTGTGAAAGAGTATTGTACTGCATAAGGCTATCCTGGGAAAAGATCAAAATGTGGATGATGTTTTCTACTTTCGCACCATTGTAAAGTTGAGAACTTGTATGTCAGGGCTGTAGTAAGGCTCACACCCAGTAAGAAGGTCATAGTTTTGGTGTTGGAATTGTCTATGGTAGAAATTGTGAAACATGTACATGTAGAGATCTTTATGGTTTGAAAAATATTTTCCTTTGTTACCCTGGACATTTACCTTACTCCAAACACTTATGTACTCCAAACACTTATGTCACCAAGGGTAGAATGTTTTCTATGTGTCTGTGCTTTTCTGTTTCACCCTACTTCCTCTTTTCTTGAATTTTCATAATAAGTAATCATCTTTTTACTCTCCCCTGAACTTCCATTTTGTGGGCAAATAAGCAGTATTTTATGCTGAATCATAAAATAATCCTATAATTCATAAAATAATTCTAAGATGGTATCTTAACTGCCATAAGTGAGATGTTTTCAATCCTGTTGTACTTTACCATTAGTAAGAGGCAAAATCCTATTTCTAAAAATAAAAACTCAAGGGAATAGTTTTGGAACCCGCACAGTATGTTTTAATTGTAAAAGGTGAGTGAATACATTGATCAATTATGCCAATAAAAATAATAAAAGATTACAAGTAAGGACAATATGTATATAAAATTCAATTGTGGTCATTTAATCCTATCACCACATATCTCACAATTAATATTTCTTTAGTCTATTCAAGATATATCTGATAATTCATGAATATTATCCCCTTCCAATCCTGTTCTTTGAATGCAGAGTAACTTCTCATTTCTCTGCCTAAATGATTTTAGCTTGAGGTACATTGTTACGACTCTTTCATAGCTTTAAAACTATACAGAAAGCGACAGTGAAACGCCATTAATGCAGACCAAACACAGAAACTGAATAGAACACTTACTGGTTCTGTCAGGGTTGTATCTTTCTCCAGGAACTGTACAACACAGTATGCTAGCTAAAAGGTAAGGGAAAGTTTATAAATATTACCCAGTGAAAATAACATTTTTGGAATGACAATAAAAATGTCATTTTGACAAATTTTAATCACTTATTTCATTACATAAAAATGAATATACTCACTATTGCATAACTTTTTAATCTTGAAATAACTTCAGTTAAAAAAACTTTTTTCAGTAGTAATTTCTAACTATAAAATTAACTGAAATAGGTTTAGGGCTAATAATTTAGTTTTTAGCCTATTTCTACATGTACGGTCTGTGTTGATGTATTATTTTTTATTGTGGACTATGCTGATATATTATTCTATAAATATTAATGGAGGAGACCAAAATCTTTCTAACTAGGTTATCAGGGGTAGAAGTAAAGTTCTGCAGCGATGTGGGATGTAGTCAGAGTCACATAGCTAATTAGGTCAGGGCCTGGATCAGAATATAAGGAAATTTGATATTGTCTTTTCTAACCTAGGGTGCACTGGTTTTATTTAATAACTAAATCCCATAATAGTTTAAACATAATAAAATTTTGCTTTGGGCAAGTTACAAAGTAAATCACTTAAATTATTTTAAAACTGTTGTCTCAATACTCCTCAGATTCTCTGCCTTTATATTTGCCTTGGAAGCAATATTCATTTCATTTGGATTTTTTCTGCAACTTACCTGAGCATGAAACAAAGCTAATCCTTTTGCAGTATGCATAGGAATAAGAACCTTCATTAGAAATTGTTTATGTTCTGCTTTCAGTGGCAATGCAAAGCCATTGATAATACTGGAGGGAAAAAAAAGGTAGGGGGAAGGGTTAAGTAGTTACTACTTAAGTTTCCAAAAATTTTAATATCCATGAGTACATACGGAACAGTGCAGTGCTCTGCTTCAATCCTGGATGTGAATGACTATTCACCTTCAAACTACTCTAGGTAGACTGTTACTATGAATCCTATTCCTCTTAAGTCATTCAAGAAAATCAGGACTGCCAACTAATGCCACAGGCACAATTTCTGTTTCACTTTCTATATATAAACTGTCACTTTATTTATACTTTGCTGTCTTTTTATTTTTCTACCCTAAAGCCACAGGGGAGTCAATGTCACAACACTGAGAATTTTCAGTATGTTCTAAAGTAAAAGGGTACTTTTTCTTGCTTTGTTGGATAATTTGAAATTAAGAAGTAGTTTGTTTCCAAAATCATTTTTAACCATTAAAAGATTAGGATAGTTTTTTAACAGCACATAGTGTTCTAAATTCTCTCCACTATTCTAATACTGCTGTGTTTTGAATAAGGAAGGCAAAATGCTTATGTAAAGCAAAAGCAAAGACTTGAAGAGTTCTAAAAACTATGGATGGATTAGGACTGCTCTATCGACACCTGAACAAGACCTCTGCAATGCCATCAAGTGTTCACTCACACTGCTTTCATCTCTTCCCAGTCAGAGCCTCCACATTTCTGTGTCAGTCTGGCAAGATCAGGAATAAAACAAGGCACAGCTTCAAAAGCAGGACGCTCGTTCTGACCCAGAGATTTCATACAGCAGTATTTTGATATGTTGACCCCCTAAAACCTATGAAAATTCAGTTGAGAGCCTACGTCTTGTGCTCTACATTATTTTTTGAGATGCCGGGGATAGGACCCAGGGCATCTTATATTGTTTTCCACATTTAAACTCTAAAATAGGAAATAGCTTCTTCACCCTAGCCAAGATGCTAGTGCATAAAAATGTTGAATGTTTCTTAATTCTTAAAAAGGACAAGAAGCCTGGCCTACCTTCCAAGAATCTCAAGAAGCTCAGCAACGCCGTTGAAGTGCTCTGTCTCATAAATGAACCTGAATTCAAAATAACAGCAACCGGTGTAATACAAACCAAACACCAGGACTATGAGACATGCAGGGAGGTGAAAAGACTGACCCAGAGGGAGCAGTATGAAACATGCTGGCAAGCTTTAGGTTTTCTCTGGAAGCTATTTTGCTCAAAATCTGTTAATTCAAGGTCTATTTTCTATGAAGTCACATAGACCTTTGCTAGAACTTGCCTTTGTAAACATAACAGAATATGATTTCACCTGGAATAGTTTATTTTGCATAATACTTAAGAAAGATGGGTTTGTTCAAAGAAAGAGTTTTCAAAATAGGAAACCTATTCACAGGAAAATCCAAGAGAAAAAGGACTCATTTTTGAGTTGCTCAGAATTTCTGTAGACCTCACATGACATGACCTTCCTTTAAAGCAGGGGATCATAAACTCAATGAGAGCAGGACAGGCTGGTGCGATACACGGCTGAAGTAAACTCAGGAGATGACCACAAGAACTACAGAAAGATGCTCTCTGTGGAGGAGGCAGCCCCCACTCATCTCACTATTGCAGTGTGGGAACACTTTAGCCTAATTTTCCAGGTCTTCAATTAATTAAAACAAAGAAAACAAACCTGAAGTGCAGGTGTTAGTGTGAAATCTCCTGATGTGAAGCACAGATTTTTAACAGATTAGCAGTTATAAAATAAATAATAAGCCTGAACAAATTAAATTAGCCTTGTCAGAAAAAACAGTACTTCTTCTATAAGATACTGTTTTAAATAGCATTTATACAAAACATTTTTAAACAAGAGACTCAAACAGAAAACTACTCTCAAAAAATTCTCAATAAATCTGAAATATGAGTTAACACTGGTGATACCTATCAAAAATGGTCCTCATTACTACTGTCCATTTAGAAGTAGGTTTCTACAGAATAGGTAAAAATAACTGAAATACTATCAGGTTGCTATATATGAATATATAACTAATATACCTGAGAAAAATGTTGTTAATTTGTTTTCTGATGAATGCTCTTAATCCAAGAAACTTCCCATAAATTCGGTGCAGCACAGTCTTCAGGAAGTCACGTTCTCTGGGATCTTCACTATCAAAAAGCTCCAGGAGCTTTAAAAAAAATCTGAGAAATTACTTTTAAAAAATAATCGAGCTAAAACTTCACTTTTTAATTTTGATTTTAAGTTTATCCATGAAATCTTTTAAAATTTTCTTAAAGATTCTGTCTTAGATTGAATTTATCCTTACTAAATAAATGAAGCTAAAGAAAAGCTTAGGAAGTATTTCTTTTCACTAATTTCATTTTTTAAAAAAGAAGACACAATATATAATATAAAAACTTCAAAAATAGGATTCTTTCTTTGCCTTGCCACTGATTTTTTAAATCTCAAGTGTTTGTTTATTTTATTTAGACAAAGTAAACATAGTTTATAATTTTTAAATCTCAAGTGTTTGTTTATTTTATTTAGACAAAGTTTTGCTCTAGACTCAGGCTGGCTTCAAATCCTCCATCCAGAGCCCCAGCCTCCAAGTGCTGGGTTAACAGTCTTAAGCTTTTAGACTGCAAGTCTTCCAATAGTGAAGTGTAAATGTAAATGTATGAATATATGTAGTTTGCGAAGCCTGCCATGGAATTCTGTATCATGAACTTTCACTAGAGATGGCACGCTCTGAACCTCACCAGTTCTTCCTCCATGTTTGTCTTTAATTATATGCAATTATTACCCATGTATCTCAAATCCAAGTGAGTATTTTGAGGGTAGTGATGACTTAAGTCATATTTATATACCCCCAAAACAAGGGACTGGTTTAAGGTTTATACTCTTTGTTGGCTAGATTATGTCACTGCATGAGGCTCTAGCAAAAAATACCCAAGGAGCGTGAGAATTCAGGTTAATATACCTGATAAATTAGGCTTAAGTTATTCTAACTAAAAATGGCTAATTTACTTACTTACTTTATACTCAAATTCATGTTCTGATATTGTGTTCACTTGAAACATATGCTTTCAAATTAATTGTTAAGGTCATTGTGTTTAATTCAAGAACAAATATTCACTACAAGTTGATCTTCAGACTAGAGAATGGTTACTGCCTAAGTTTCAAATCTATTTAAAGGAATCTGTTTTCAAATATTATAATCTAAATAATCTATTGGGAATACAATATTCACATGGTAACACACAAAACTAGTAATCAGGAAATCTGTTTTGTTTACCTATGATATTAATATCCAACTGCTTTTAAGGGTCATATTAAGGGTCATTTATAATCTCTGTGTTTATGCTTCTTCATCAGAAAAATAAGAAAAGTTGAAATAAAAACAATTTCATGAGAGGATCCTCTCATGGTCAGAGTCTAGTTCATGTTCTGATTGAACCACCTACTGGCCATGTGAAACTGGACCTACTCTAACTCTTTATACAAAAGCACACAAGGACAGTGCCTGGCGGATAAAAAATCTTGGTTTCTCAATAAAATCTTGGTTTCTTTCTTTCTTATGAAGTTCTCTAATTTGAACATAAGTTGAAACCGTGCAGTTGTTTTCCAAATTTAACAGATTTTCTTCTGTTCTTCTAAGTCTTAAAACTTACCACCTACCAAATCATTTCAAAATACAAAAGGTGAGAACTGTCCTACATAAATTTATGACAGTAACAGCCTAAGAATACCTGAGAAGTATCTGAGAAAGCACAGACATGTAAACTGCTGAAATCAAGTTACAGGGCTACAGCTCCTCAGATAATGCAAGCATTTGAAAGACAGCAGAAGATGGGCCCCACCCTACCAGTTTTCTTCTTGTTCCCCTCAAGCCCACAGAAACCCACCAGCCTAAGTACTTCAAGCTGCAGACTGAGGGAGCACCAAGCAAAGATCCCCTCAACCTGCTGTTGTCTGAAATCAACTCAACGTAGTATCACTGGGGCTCTTGAATGTAACCCACCTGAGAACTAGAGAGGAAATAGGCATTCATTTGCAATTACCCAAATCAAAGAACTGTTTAATCTTACATACTCATGACTGAAATGTACATTTTACTGTTAACACACACCTAACATTTCTGTGGCTTATGAAGAATGGCACAAATAGTTATGCAATGTTCTTCCTTCATCAGTATTCCACAGAAATTAGTCACAATACTTTATGAGAGTCCGGGATAGGTACAAATGACCAAAAATGAGCTCCAAAGTCATGTTTGTGGAACCTTTATTATAGGGGACACACAACAGTGGTCAGAAAGATAGGAAAGGTCCTCATGAGGATTTTAATCCTGGCCTCAGCATCAAATGCCTAAGCAGGCCGTGCATACTAATAAATATTTCAAAAGAGAAAATGGGCCTAGAAATCTGCTTCACAGCTTTGTTTAGAGCCAGACAATTCTAAGTGATTAAAAAAGAGGCCTCTAAATGGTTGAAAACATTTTGAAAATAAAAATAGAAATGGACATATTCTTAGAAATTATTTTTCGGGTTTTTTTGGTTTTGTTTTTAGAAATTAATTGTATGTAGGTTCCAAAAATAAGATGTAATAATTAGTATATAAAAAGAAAGAAGGGATTGCATGTGTTAACGCTACCAACATTTCTTCCTAATGATCCCTTTTTATCTGTGGTTTAGGAATTGGGTGGGTAGGATGCCTGAGGTGTTAGGGGAAAGGAGAAGGGAAAGGTAAATGATGACAGGAAAGGAGACAAAAGCCCAAACTCCTAATAATGATTTAATTTCTTTTTTTTTCTTCCCTCCTGCTCTGTCAGTTCAAATGTTTAAAATATGTCAAGTTCAAATTAAATACTTAAAAATGAATGATGATACCAAAAATTTTTCAGATACTGCACATAGGCTTTTCTGGTTGTTATAAAAATAATCATGAAAATTTACAATTGGATAGGATAATTTGATTGACTTCATAAGATGCCCACCCTAGATAAAAAAACTCTCTAATTCTCAAGCCTACTTCACTTTTATCCTAATTATCTGGCAAGAATATTAAATGCTATCAAATTAAAATATCAAATGTAAGTTTTGAAAGACTATTCTATTTAAACAAGTTAAGAAATCATTGCTAAGATAAATATAAGAAAATTTAAGACATAAGAGTTCCTTACCTGTTGTACAAATTTCTGATCAATGTATCGCTTTGCAATGCTAGGTTGGAAATCAGGACTCTCCAAAAATCTCAGGAAGAACTCATACACCAACTATGAAGAGAAAGTCAAAAGTTAAGATGGTACCTATAAAATTCTACCCTAAGTTACACCTCATATAAAAAACATACCTTTCTTACTGACTTCATTTCTAATCTCATTACAAAATATAACTACTAACTGAAAGATGTTAAATTACAAAAACTAGAAAACAATGGCAGTGCCTACAATGTATGTAATTAAAAAAAAAATTCTGTAATCCATACTCACAGGAACATCTTCCTTCCTCAGAGGACTACTAACTGACCTCAATTTATCAGGAACCTCCAGGTAAGGGGCCAAGGTGTCAACATTAAAAAAGAAAAACTTTTAAGTTTTCTATAAAAGTACAGTGGGAAAAAGCAAATTGAAAGCATCCCCTACTTGCATGAGAAATAATGAGCCAGATGTGTAAGTCTGGGGCCAGGGAAGGAAGGTGTGTTCCCTAAGCAAAGGACCTGCCAGTGTGAGTGGGTCTTCCACTTACCAAGAGCCACACAACTGAATTGTAATAGCAAGTGAACACCTGCTACCCCAAATCTGAGCTAAAAGTAACTTTTGGTTCAATCTATAGCCATCACACTGTCACAGAACAACTAAACTGTTCTTTTTTTTTTTTAAGCTGTCCTTTTTAAACCTGCATTAAGAGTCTGATAGGCTAAGTATAAACTAAACTTTTAGTACAAAACAAAAATATCCAGGTGAACTGTTTCAAAGCACTTTTATAATAGGAGAGGAAACCTTCACTATGCAAATTTCCTCAGTGTGATAATTTTATAATCTCATTTATCAGAACAGCTTTAATAATTAATTTTTAAAAAACTAATGATGCTTGAGTAAGTAGCTACAATATATCGACAAACCTGTAATTCAGCTAGGTTTGGGACTGGGTTTGAATTCAAGGTTTTGCACGTGCAAAGCAGGTGCTCTACTGCTTGAACCACACCTCCAGTCCATTTTGCTCTGGTTACTTTGGAAATGGGTGTCTCTAAAACTGTTTGCCCAGGCTGGCCTCAAACTGTGATCCTCCCGATCTCAGCCTCTCAAGTAATTAGAATTACAGGCATGAGCCACTGGTGCCCATCTATTCAATAGTTTCTAATATCCCTAAAACATTAAATTGCCAACCTAAAAAATTATATACTACATTTTAGAAACTGGAAAGGTTTTTAAGCTATAAATACATATTTTTTAAAATCAAGGGACCATGTATGAAGGAAAAAATTTGGGTTGGGGCAGTGCACTGAGGTTTGAACTCAGGGCATTCCACTTGCTAGGCATGCACTCTACCAACTTGAGCCAAGTCCCCAGTCCTTTGTTGTTCAGAGAAGGCCTCGTGTTTTTGCTCTGGCACACCTCAGACAGCAGTCCTCCAACCTCTGCCTCCCAAGTGGCTGGGATTATAGATGTGCCTCACCATGACTGCTTAATAATCATATTTTAAAAGCAATTTGCTACCTCCAAAACTGTTAGGGAATTTAAATAAAATTTCACATTAAACCAGTGAAAACTGGAAAGCATATTGTTTATTTGGCTGAATTTTCACTGTTAATTTCAATGAGTGTATAAAAATATCCTAATGAAAACCTGTCATTATTTTTAAAAATGACTAAGGAGTCATTTTCAGGCTATCCAACTACATGTTATTAAAGAATATGAGTGAGAATTTCATGCTTTTAAAACCTCCACATTAAATATAGTATCACTGATTTATACCAATGATGGCAAAAAATTTCAGATGATTTTGTGTACAGATCTATAAAAAATAATTTACCATTTCATATTTTTTAGTTCTGTAAGTTCTAATGTGCTGGTAAGTCTCAAAATTATTACCAGCATTCACTATTCCTAGACACCACTTCCATTTTATATGGATGTGTAGGTGCAAGACAGAATGATAAAATGTGGCAGACCACTGCTAAAAGTATATTAAATAGTAGTAAATGTAGTTTTCTTGCTCTTGTCTTTAATAATAAAAGAAAATGCAGTGTCCACTAAAAATATAAATATACATCCTTAAAAAAAAAACCCCAACAATTTGAAATAACGCCTCGCACCCATATATTAAAAGCAAAGTTCCTGTCTACCTTCCATGACTATGTTGTTGATTATATATTTATCTTGTTGTTTGATATTAAAAACATGCCATTATGTAGTCCAAGATGGCCTTGAACTCTCCATTCTCCTGCCTTAGCCTCCTGAGTGCTGAGATAATAGACATGTGCCACCCTGCTTGGCTTCAATTTGCATTTTATTTACAACAGCCTCTCCCCTCCAATAGTTCTAGCCTGTGGCAGGCATTGTTGACTGTCTAACCTAACACTTGTTCCCTTTTCCTTACCTATTGACACTGCAAAAATGAAATACTCACTTCCTCAGTCTTCTTACAACTAGAGTAAGGGAAAAAAGAGGATGGAAAGAAGAAAAATAAAAATCACCTAAAACATAAAGAGATTTTAAAACAAAGAGAACTGAAGAGAAAGTAAGAGATACAGACAAAGGTAAAGAAGAGCCAACATATGAACAACAGGCATCCCCAAAGAAGAAAAAACAAAGCTGTTAATCAAGAAATATTAAAAACTGTTACTGAAAAAAACACTTGTCCAAAATAAATGCAAACCTTTGTAATGAAAGATCATTAATCAACTGGGGAAACAAACCCAGAAAAAATCAACATTGATACATACTCCAGTAAAGTACTGGCCATTAAAGGAAAAAATATTGAGCATTCAAGCAACAAAGTTTTACATAAGGGAAAGAAATCACACTGAAATCAGGAGACGATGGAATGACATATTTAAGGTACTCAAGGAGAGAAGGCTGAAACATGGATTTCACATATTGCTGAGATGATCTTTAAAAATAAAAGATACAGAAAACTGCCATGAAACATGTAAGCAAGTCAAAGAATAATGTTCTTCTGAGTCCTACTGAAGAATATACTCCAAATTACAAAATGTGAGGAGAAACAAAGAAAGCGGAAGTGAATGGAGGTATACTGGAACAAAGCTTTGTATACTAGGTTAGTATATAAATATACTTATGTATTAAGTTGGTATTAAACCAAACTAGATTGTTTTAGAATGCTAACTGCGAATACCCAGGGCAACCACTAAGAAAAAACTCCAAAAAATATCATAAAAAAACAAGGGCTAGGGAAGCTGAGTTTGAAGCCAATCGGGGCCACACAGAAAACCCATCTCAAAAAAAATAAATTAATTAAATTTAAAAATAAAAATAAGATAAAATTCAAAGGAATTAAATGATACTCTGAGAAATACCTATTCAACCCAAAAGAAGGTAGTAATGGGGAAGCAGAGGAACAACAACAAAAGACAGAAAACAGAACATTGTCAGGTGTAAAGTCTACCTTTTATCAGTAACTGCATTAAATGTAAATGGATTAAACACGCTAATCAAAAGGCAGAGACTGTCAAAATTTTTTAAAAATATGACCAAATTATATACATTTTAAGAGAGACATTTTAAGGCTGGCAGAGTGGCTCACATGGCAGAGTACCTGCTTAGCAAGTGTGAGGCCCTGAGTTCATACTCCAGTACCACAAAAAAAAAAAAAAAAGACATACACTTTAGATTCAAAGAAACAAATAGGTTAAAAGTAAAGGAATACAAAAGATGTATCATGCAAACAGGAACCAAAAGGGAGCTGGAGTGGTGATGCTAATATCAGACAACATAAACTTTAACACAGAAATTGTTCCTAGAGACAAAGGACATTTATAATGAGGGTCATCCATGTGAAAGATAAAATAATTATAAATCAATTGGGACTTACAGGAAGCAAAAACTTACAATATGCTGGGGTGGTAGTACACTGCTGTTAATCCCAGTGCTCAGGAGGCTGAGGCAGGAGATCATGAGTTTGAAGCAAACCTGGGCTACACAATGAATTCCAAAGTCCCACCTAGTGAGACTGTTTCAAAAACCAACCAACCAACAAATACCACCACCACCCCCTGCAAAAAATAAACAAATAAAACACCTTACAGTAATGCAAAGAGAAATAAGGCAATTCAACAGTAACAGCTGGAGATTCAATATCTAACTTCCAGTGGGCAGGACAGACAGATCAACATAGTAACAGAGACTTGAACAACACTATAAACCAACTAAGCCTAACAGACTTCTACAGAACACCCCACACAATACAACACACATTCTTCTTAAACGACATGCACAACAGTCTCAAGGATAGACTATATACTAGGCCATAAAATTTAAATGAATACAAAGTGTATTCTCCAAACAACGAAATAAGATTAGAAATTAGTAACATAAGAAAATTTGCAAAAATCATGAATAGATACAAATTAAACAACACATTCCTAAATAACTAATGAATTGAAAGAGAAATTACATTGGGAAATTAGGAAATATTTTTAGATGAATGAAAAGTACAACACATCATAACCTATGGGAAACAAATATTCAAACAAAACATGTACATAACAGCTTTAGTCACAACAGTCATCAGGTGGAAACTTAAATACTAAATAACTGACAAATATTTAAAAGTGATTAAAAGTATCTAGTATAGCCATAAAATGGATTATTCAGCTATAAAAAAATGGAAATATTGATTCATGCTACAACATAGATGAACCTTGAAAATACTAGGGTGAGTGAAAGAACCAGATACAAAAGGCCAGATACTATGATTCAATTTTTATAAAATATGTACAATAGGAAAGCAAGTCTGCAGAGATAAGAAAGCAAATTAGTACTTGTCCAGGCTATGAAGATGGGGGTCCGTGGAGCGGCTGCTAATGATGCAGTGTTTCCATTTGGTGATGAAAAGTTCTGAACTAGACAGGATGGCTGCACACAACATTGTGCGTGTACCCAATGCTAACGCTTGGACAGTCAATGTTAAGTGTATTTTACAACAACAAAAACTATTTTTGAAAAAGAAAATAGTATTAGAAAATACATTAAAAGTCAAATACTTTAAGTAAACACTCAGAATCCACAGAATATTGCAATGTAAAAATTGTCAATAAAAAAGTAAAAATTTTCAATAAGAAACAATAAAATAAAATAAAAAACTAAATTAAAAAAATTGTCAATACATGATTATGTTCCATACTTGTATATGAGGCCAAGAGGCCTCAAGTGTGGGTTCATCCTCTTCTGGATCAAAATCTGGATTATCACTTGGAGGAAGAGTACGGAAGATGTTAGCACTGATCTGCAAAGAAAAAGAATTTAGATTCATGTTCTTTGTTGTGTACTTCAATTCAGTGCAAAATGAAATATCTTGAAGGTCATTTTCTTTAAGAACAAAGTTAAGTTATGGCTATAAATTCAGTTCAAAACCTACAGGTGTCTTTAAGATATGAAGGAGGCAGATGTGTTTCCCTCTTCTCTATTCACAAACTGACTTTTTTAGAAGCTACTGAAGACTAGATTGCCTCTGGATTCCTCTTGCTTAATTTACCAGTTGTTCTTTCCAAGTTTTGCTTAAAATGAAAAAGGGGAGGGGAGGAAAGAAGAGGGAATTTGAGGGGAAAAAGGGCAAAGTTACTAACTTTACCTATCTCTAACTTGGTTCTTTTCATCTTTCTACCGCTCCTCCCATATTCTAAATTCAGCCACATTCTGTACCTATAACACAAAAAAGTAAAATATCTTCATTGTTATGAATACACTAAAGGAGAGGGAGAATGCCTTCACAGTTATGTGGACATACTTATAAACACCTCATGATGATTTGAATTACTGTATTTCATCTACTCTGAAGTTTTAAAAAAGTTAATCTCTCTGAAATCAGGGAGCGCTTTGAGGTTGTCTGTCTTAGATTCAATGAAATATAGCATTTATAATTTCACCCTTTACACTGTCTGTCTCAGCACCAACGTAACCATGTCCTTTCTCCTCAGCAAGATGCTCCCTGGTGGTCTAGTGGTTAGAAGTTGGCACTCTACTCAGCAAAAAGTAGATTGTGGTCCCAACCTAGTGTCTTTTAAGAATAATGAACAGACTGACAGACCAAATAGTTTAGTAAACATCCAAACTATTTACAGTTGATCATTTGAGGTAAACCATTTAGGGGGAAGAGAGTAAGACAAGCAATTTTGATTGTATAAGCAAATTTCCAACTGTTCCTATGACATGGCACCTGGGATAGGCAAATAACTGCTAACAGTATTACCAAAACTCTAAGACTTAGAAGTAATAACCTAGAATTTGATCAGTTAAAACTCAAAGCTGGTACTTAAGGGTAAATCTAAGAAATAGTTTGATGGACACCAATTTAATAAAGAGAAGGAGAAAGCCACAAATAGAATTTGAAAAAAGAAATGTATCTCGTAATTGTCAGCAGTAAAAGAAAAAAGTTATCCTTGGTAGTCATCAATAAAATTGTCTGCATATAACAAGTGTCAATTTGTGATAGTCTACAAATATATTAAAATGTTCTAACATAGGATTTCTTTTAAACCTGACCCCCTTACCCATGGCTAAATGTGGAGTTTTTCATTGATTTCTCTTTTTCCCTTTAAAAGTCCTGTCTCCATGACCACTCATCCTCATGACATTATCTGTCAATCTGCATGATCCCAAGCCTATGTTTCTCTGAAGTTCAAGATCTGTACTATTCAATATGGTAGCCACCTGCCATTGTGGCTATTCAATTCCCAAATTCCTGTAAGCAATGACACCATCAGTGAAATGGATAATCTTTTTAGATAAATTTTGTTTTTCAGTTGGGGGGCAGTGCTGGGTTTGAACTCAGGGCCTCATGTTGCTAGACAGGTGATCTACAACTTGAGCTATCTTCCCCCACACCCCAAGCCCTGCTTTGGTTATTTTTGAGATACGGTCTCACCCCAAACTGTGATCCTCCTATTAACACGTCTTACATAGCTGGGATGACGGGTGTACCACCACTCCCAGCTTTATTGATTGAGATGGGATCTCCTGAACTCCCCACCCCCATGTTCTCAAACCACTATCCTTCTCATCTCTGCCTGCCAATTAGATAGGATTACAGGTATAAGCCACTGTGCCCTGCTTCAAATAGACTATTTTTAAAAACATTCTTTTGGATTGTGTTAATTATACATTTGTTAAAAATAAGTATAATTCATAATTACACCTCAGATCTTAGTTTGAATTTATATAAATCTGAGGAACATAATTCTAGAGGCTTACCATTTTTACTATATCAGAATACGCTGATTCAACAATTACACCACGGTTAGTTGAAACATACTCAACCAGTTCATTCAGTGTTGCTCTTTTAATTTCTTTGCTCTTCAAGTCTGAAACAGAGTCCATGAAATCAAACAGTATACAACACTGCTGTAACTTCTGACAGAAAAGCTCTTGTTGTTCATTTGAAGTGGCATCTGTAAATAAAAACAGAAAAACTTATAACTAACCAACTCACAATTTATCTTTATTAATTCTATAAAAAGTTATTTAAACACATAAAACTTATCTCAATAATCTAGTAGTGAATTCACCCATCGAATTCTATCATTTAGGGATTTATACTGAACTCTTCTCACTGCCCAAATCAATCATTAAATGTTATTGATTCTGGCTGGGCAGTGGTGGCTACACTTGTAATCCTAGCTACTAAGGAGGCAGAGATTAGGAGGATCGCAATTCAAAGCCAGCCAGGGCAAATAGTTCACAAGGCCTGATCTTTAAAAATCCCAATGGAAAACAGGGCTGGTGGAGTGGCACAAGTAGTAGAGCGCCTGCCTAGCAAGTGTGAGTTTAAACCCCATCACCGCTAAAGAAAAAAAAAAATTATTGATTCTGTCTAACATATCTGGGATCTACCCCTTTCTTGTCATTTCCACTGTCACTTTAGACCTCATCTAGACTACAGCAATGACATCCTAATTACTCCTTTTGCCCATTCTCATCACAACTATCCTGATTAATCTTCCAAACTACATAAAAAGCTACAATCTTGTTAAAACTAAAATCAGTATCATCATCTCAATACTTTTTAATCATTCTCAATGATGAAGAGAATGAAGCGTGAACTCTTCTGGATTGGATATAGAATGCAGCTTCTACTATCAGGAGTCATCTTTCAGCTGGGCACCAATGGCTCATACCCACAGTCCTAGCTACTTGGGAGACTGAGATTGGGAGAATCACACTTAAGAGGCCAGCCCAGGCAAACAGATGCAAGATGCCATCTCCAAAATAATCAGGGCAAAATGGACTGGAGGCATGGTCAAGCACTAGAGAGCCTACTTTGCAAGTAATAGCTCTGAAATGTCATGTTTCGACGCTTTCAGTGTGCCTCTTCACTCTGTGGAAATCATACTCCCTCGGGTTCCCTGAAGACCACACACTGCTTCTTTTGCCTAGAATGCCTGTCTTCCCACATTTCCATCTTGGAAACTCTACCCATTTAATTTTTTTTTTTCCTGGCAGTACTGGGGTTTGAAGCGTGAGTACAGAGCCCACACTTGCTAGGCAGGCGTTCTACCTCTTGAATCACTCCACCAGCCTTTCTATCCACTTAAGTTTCGACATAAGTTCCTTTAAAATTTTTCTTATGACACTAAAGCTAAACCTGTTGGTCAATCCACTTTTACCCAAAAGTATTTTAGGTGCATATTTCTACTACAGTATTTATTGTACTCTCTGGCAATTATATTTTACACACCTAATATTCCTAATCTATAAGGCTCCTAAAAGCAGAAACCAACTGTTACCTAATTATTTCTACTTCTTTCTTCTGTCATCTAGCACATTGCCTGGCACATAATGGGCACTCAATGTTTATTGTTTTACCTTCTACTTATTATAAAAACATGGGCACACTGTATTTGATTCTAGCAAATGAATTACATTTGTTTCCAACATTATAACAATAAAATTTAAAATCTGAACTTTTAAATTTTGAAATTTCAATTTATAAACAGGGACCTTCAATTAGTTCAATTACCTAAATTTCTTGAACTTCTAAGATTAAATTTTTTAAATTACACATCTCAACATGGGTATTAGCTCCTAATATGTAAAACTACCTCTCCACTCAAAACCAGCACCTATTCTATATAAAGATACAGGTAAAAATCTTCATGAAATGATGAGCTGACCAAGGCTGCCTATGCCTGTTAAATTCTCTGGGACAGAGAGCTAGTAAGATGACCACAAATACATCCAAGTTATCCTCAAAAAGCTGATTTAGCTAGGTGCCAGTGGCCCAAGCTTATAATCCTAGCTACTTGGGGAGCTGAGATTGGAAGGATTGGAGTTCAAGGCCAGCTGGGGCAAACAGTTTGTGAGACCCCCATCTCCAAAATAACGAGAGTAAAATGGACTGGAGGTGTGGCTCAAGTGGTAGAGTGCTGGTTTTGCAAGCATAAAGTCCTGAGTTTAAGCCTCAATCCCACCAAAAAAAACCCCACCAAAACCCAAAAATCTGATTTAGGCAAGTTACTGCTAACATATAGCATATCAGATACCCTAAACCCACTTATACAAAGTCAGAAGAAAAACAGCATAATATTTTTATTGGGCAGTTTTATACCGTGATAATTCACATGACTTTTGAAGTAAAAATATGAAGAGTCTGAATATATTCTGAATTTGTTGCAGCCCATTTGTGACTATACCAGTAAGACAGCTCTACACTTACAAGGAATAGGTGCAACATTCTCTGTTCTAGAATTAATATCGGTCCTCTGCTACACGAAGGCTGATGAGGTCTCCAGTCCTAAGATTGTCATTCGGAGTTTGAGTAGTACTGACTGAGAGCATAACATTTTTTACTACAGTTTTGATCAAAGTTTTGTTGTTGTTTGCATTTGTGGTATTGGAGTTTGAACTCAGGCCTTGTGCTTGTTAGGCAGGTGCTCTGTGACTTGAGCTATGCTGTCAGCACTTGATTAAAGTTTTTAATTCAGAGTCACCTTCTAGGAATAGTTCTAAAGTGGAAATATTTGTAACATATTAAACAGTTATCTTTGCCCCAGAATTAAATTTCATTGAGAGTGAAAATGAAGCACCATCCGACATACATATAATACACGTAACCAACAGTCATGTTTACTGCTACCTATGTTCATCCCAAAATGGTCCACTGAATCTGCTCACTCTCTGATAAGTCAGTTGTGTTTTAAATGGCCCTTTTCTTAAATCCTCTGGAGTTTTTAACCTTAAAGTTAAAATGGTTACATGAATTTAATTTCAAATAATAAATGTCTTCAGGTGTGGGGGTGACTTCAAGTGGTAGAATGCCTGCCCTGAGTTCAAACTCCAGTACTACCAAATAAACAAACAGTCTTCAATATCTTCTAATATAGGTACCTAATTGATTTCAATAAATAAACAGATGTCCGCTTAGTAGCAATACTTAGTTTCAAAAACTAGTAGATACCTCTGCTTCTTGTAAGTTTCCTAGTCATATTTAAACTTACCAGATTGCTTATGTATTATACACCAGAGAAGATGGTGACTGATTCTGCTGTAAGAATCCTTTTCAATTTAAACTGTATAGGAAATCCCCAGAGTTCTCTCAGTTACTCAATCTTTATTTACATATATATATATATTCTTATTACATAGATTTATTTTGACTTTATCATAATAGGCAATATACCCATATTACATCTTTATAATTAATATAAATTCTATTAAAATGAGTATTTGAGGAAATAATGGCATACCTTTAGAGAATAACTGAGTTCTAACAGTTAGTTTTTTCCCCTAATGCTAAAATTAATACAAACTAATACACTATCCCATTTCAACATGTAATCACCTCTTACAGCCAAGTCCTATTGTCTCCCTCCCACTACCATCTCCTCAATGTGAAACCAGTTCTTTTCTTATTCTCTAGAGGCCATGTGTTCCATTAAGAAATCTCTGTCTTCCAAAAATCGTATGTTCTCCCTCATATGTGGACATTAGATCAAGGGCAAACACAACAATGGGATTGGACTTTGAGCACATGATAAAAGCGAGAGCACACAAGGGAGGGGTGAGGATAGGTAAGACACCTAAAAAAATTAGCTAGCATTTGTTGCCCTTAACGCAGAGAAACTAAAGCAGATACCTTAAAAGCAACTGAGGCCAATAGGAAAAGGGGACCAGGAACTAGAGAAAAGGGCAGATCAAAAATAATTAACCTAGAAGGTAACACACACGCATAGGAAATTAATGTGAGTCATCTCCCTGTATAGCTATCCTTATCTCAACCAGCAAAAACCCTTGTTCCTTTCTATTATTGCTTATATGCTCTCTACAACAAAATTAGAAATAAGGGCAAAATAGTTTCTGCTGGGTATTGAGGGGGTGGGGGGAAGAGGGAGGGGGTGGAGTGGGTGGTAAGGGAGGGGGTGGGGGCAGGGGGAAGAAATGACCCAAGCCTTGTATGCACATATGAATAAAAAAAAAAAAAAGAAATCTCTGTCTTTTCACCAGATTTCCTCCCTTATCTTTCCGAATCCTATACAATTGAATAAACCTAGATTCTACATTCTATAAAAACTCCCTTAGATCAGATACAACAATCTCTTCCTTCTCTGAATATCTATAGTACTCACAACTTCAATTATATAGTTATGTATGCATTATCTTTAGGTCTATATTTAGGAATTTTGTGTGTGTGTGTATGGTACTGGGGATCAAACTCAGAACCTCATGCATGTCAGGCAAACATTCAACCACTGATTTTTTTTTTTAAAAATCAAGCCCCAAAAGATCTCAGGCTTCTTCATGGGCAAGGGGGTTCTCTTTTCTTTTCTATCTATAGGCCATTTAAGGAGTTGACAAACACTTGTTTGATGCCTAAGAAAGCTCTCTGACTTTGAAGAACAAAAATTATGCACTGAAAAACAGATCATTGGACAAGAAGTTCAAAACTGGTGCTAGATAACAAAAGTGGCATAAATAGTGACTTACTCCATCATGGCTATGTTTAAGAATTGATAACAAAGACCATTTTTAACAACCTACCTTATTGGTAGAATTACATGGATTAAATGAGACAATAATCATAAAAGTGAGTGCATATACTTCTAAGTGGATTACAAATGGAAGGCATTTTTTTTTCTTCCATCACAGGTTAGTAGCCTATAGCTACCATAACAGAAGACACAAAAGAGTATCTGGATTGGCAAATGGTAGTTATACATTTTAAGAAAGGTTGTTTCTTTTTCTGGACACCTTACTCTTGGATCTTCTCCAAAATAAATATTACTCACAGCTTCTCCATTCACTAATCTATTTCTTAGCCTAATGATTTATTTGAATTTGTTATTTTTTTTTCTCTCCATTTACCTAATGCTTACGTAGGATAGGTCACATATAAATTTGCCCGGGGCTGGTGGAGTGGCTCAAGTGGTAAGAGTGCCTGCTTAGCAAGCATGAG